ACAACCAATGATATGCACAGTAAGACAATAAGATTTTNTTATCACACCGCATGGCTTCTAGTAGTTCCCCTACTAGCCACGCGTTTCAAGCCACCCTTATCTTACCGCATGCGTTTCAACACCCTGACCTTATATCACCACATGACTTCTAGTAGTTCCTTTACTAGCCACGCATTTCAAGCCACCCTTATCTCACCGCATGCGTATCAATATCACAATATTTCACAAATCGCACCTCAAGTGCCCAAATATCACAGCAAAATATAACTTGCACCTCAAGTGCACAAATATCACAACATAATATAACTTGCACCTCAAATGCCCAAATTTACACAAATTACACATTCAAGTGCTCAAATCTTACAACATATCACAGATTGCACATCAGATGCTCAAATCTTACAACATATCACAAATTGCACATCAGGTGCTCAAATCTTACAACATATCACAAATTGCACATCAAGTGCCCCAATATTACAACTTGCTACAGAAATCAACAATACGTTATTTCCCACAATAAGGAGCCCATGGCTCGACCATAAGGTGCACAACACCCAAAAACAATCAATAGAGATAGAAATTACTCGACATAAAGCAAAGTCTTCATTAAATTTAAATTTTCAATAATTATATAAACACCTCTTCTTAAGCTCATTTAATTAATTATTTAGAGAGGGAAAAATCCAAAATAAATTAAATTCCAATAATTATCAAACCAGCAAATTCACGAAATTTCATAAATAATCAAATAACAATCACATCCCATTGTCATATAACAACAAAGTCAACAACAAGGGTTTAGGCACGACAAGTAGATGATTAAATATATGCCAATAATTATCCAATTTGCTACACAATATGCTCAAGACTTTAACCCAATAAAATTTGTACATATAAATCAAGTACGTACTCGTCACCTCGCGTACATGGCTTTCAATTACCCAAGTTGTATATAAGACTCAATGCCTAAGGGGAATTTCCTCCACTCGAGGTTAAGCAAGACACTTACCTTTTTGAAGTTAGGCCAATATTCCAAAATGGCCTTCTTGCTTGAATTGGCCTCCGGACAGCTCAAATCTATCCAAATTAATTGTATAACTTCATTAAAATTCATCGGAAACAATTCCAGATAATAATACGTCGACTTAAAATTTTATTCCAAAAAGTCAACGCAGGACTTGCCTCTCAGAACCCGATATAATTTTCATGAAATCCGAACACCCATTTCGATACGAGTTCAACCATACCAATTTTATCAAATTCCAATAACAACTCGACTTCCAAATCTTAAATTTTTGTTTTTGGAAGATTTTACAAAAATCTTGATTTTTCCTCCATTAAATCCGAATTAAATGATGGATTCAAAGACATAATCATAAAAATCAATCAAAACTGGATAAGAATCACTTACCCCAAACACCCACGCAAGAATCTCTCCAAAAATCGCCTTCTACCGAGCTCCAAAATAGATTTTGAGTTATGAACTCAAACCCCCGTTTTTGGGACTTTTAATTCTTCCCAGATAGGCCTTCTTCGCGTTCGCGACCATTGCTTCGCGTTCGCGAAGGCCAAAAAACTCGCTGCCTCAATTTCTTCTTCGCGTTCGCGTTACAAGCGTCACGTTCGCGAAGGCCTGCCGTGCATATCATCGCGTTCGCGTTCGCGAAGGCCTGCCATGCATATCATCGTGTTCGCGTTCAAGCTCTCGCGTTCGCGAAGGCTGATGACTCCAGGCCCAGTCCCCTCCTTCCTTAGTCGAATTCTCAAATCACCTAGTCCTAAAACACCATACGAACTTAGTCGAATTCTCAAATCACCTCAAACAACATCAAAACGACGAATCGCACCTCAAATCAAAATCTATGAACTTTGAACTTTCAAATTCTATAACTTGTGCCGAAACATATCAAATCAATCCGGAATGACTTCAAATTTTGCACACAAGTCTTAATTGACATTATGGACCTATTCCAACTTCCGGAATCGGATTTCGACCCCGATATCAAAAGGTCCACTTCCGGTCCAATTCTCCAAAAATTTTACTTTCGCCATTTCAAGCCTAAATTGGCTACAGACCTCAGATTCACAGTCCGGACACGCTCCTAAGTCTAAAATTATCCAACGGAGCTAACGGAACCGACAGAACTCTATTCCGGAATCATCTTTGCATAGTTCCGACTATGGTAAAAATCCTAAGGCTTAAGCTTATATCTTAGGGACTAAGTGTCCCAAAATCTCTCTGAATCATCCATAAATCAAACTCGACCACACACACGGGTCATAATACATATCACGAGGCTGCTAGAGACCTTAAGTCACTGAACGAGGCGTAAATTCTTAAAACGACAAATCAGGTCGTTACAGACACGAACTCTCTGAGCATCTCGTTATCCTTCTGTTTTACTTTGAAAAGGTCCGATTTCCTGGTCTCGACCTTGATGGCCCCGACGTATGCTTTCACGAAAGAATTCGCAAGCATAGTAAATGAATTAATAGAATTTGGAGGTAAGTTGTGATACCATATCATAGCTCCTTTTGATAGGGTCTCTCTGAACTTCTTCAACAGGACAGACTCGATCTCATCACCCACCAAGTCGTTCCCTTTGATGGCACATGTGTCAGAGGTTACATGCTCATTTGGGTCGGTCGTTCCATTATACTTAGCAATCTCAGGCAGGCGGAATTTCTTAGGGATCGGCTTTGGAGCCGCGCTCGGAGAAAAAGGTTTTTGCACGAACTTCTTGGAATCTATACCTTTCAATATCGGCGGTGCTCTTGGAATTTGGTCTACCTTGAAATTGTAGGTTTCCACCTTTTTGTCATTAGCTTCGATTTTCTTCTCCCCTGATTCTACCCGTTTTGTCAGTTCTTCGAGCATCTTTATGATCTCGGGGTTAGCCTCTGATTTATTTTCATTTGACCTTTCTGCGACCGGTTCATCCCTGCGGGTGACTTCTAGGGGTGGATCGGGTTCAACTCTACTCGGTGCATGGCTTTTGTTCTGTAACTGAGCTATCGCCGCCTGGTGAGCCTGCAGCATTTCAAAGATCACCCGTAAACTGATCCTGTCTCCTCCAATATTTTGTGTATTTTGAGCTGCCGATCGGGCTCCACCACAGACGCTATTCTCGGGGCCGGTAGGTAGGTTTGTGTCGATGGCCACATGTGAATTAGCGTCGATTGGGTATGCGATCAGAATATCGATGGGATCAACGGGCGGTACCTCATCACCGGGCGCTATGTTATTATTTTCACTGTGATGACCGGACTCGTTGTCAACATGTAGGGGTGCTGACTGAGAGTTCGACATCTTGAATTTTAACTTGAAGTTAGAGACACTTCAAAGAACAAGTGTAAAGTAGTGTGCGTTATGCAGACTTGTATCAAATAACTACTATTATCCTTAGCCCCATGGTGGGCGCGAAACTGTTTACCCTCAAAATCAGATAATAATTGAATTTGTAATTAGTTTTAAGGATACATGGACTAACTTGACACAAAACGATAAATTAGATTGCAATTGAAATAAATAATTGTAAAGTAAATGCAAACCACAAGAATTGAACAATCTTAGCCTTGGGAGGTTAATCACCCTCGAGCCAGGTACGCTTCGATCGGTGGTGTCAGGATACAGAAGAACAAGAGCTTAAAAAATAATAATAATATATTGCTTTGGAATGCGTGTTACAATCTCTTGAATGAATTATTAGACCACAATTTTTATAGTAGAGGAGTCATACTTTAGATACAATTCTATAAACGGTAAAAAATCCCTTGATTTGCTGATTGCCGGTTCCTTACTGATACGCGTTGAGATTTCCGCCGTAACATCTGCCCGATTACGGATATTATGCTAACAATGTTTCTCCGAGCTCGTTCGGGACTAGGGTCGACTCCGGGGTCTCGGATTCAATGTTCTCGAAGGCAGGTGTTCTGACCCTGGGTTCTAGCCCGGTGTAACTTGGGGCCGATCTTCAGTCTTGCATTATCATATTCCGAGCCTGTCCTTTCATATCGTAGGCGAACTCGATTTCGACCGTATACAATTCCAGATTTTCCAGTGCTTTTCTGGTGCTTTGGAATGCTATGTCACTGCCTGAGTCATAATTTTTCCTGTGCTTTACATGTGCTATGGGCAATTACTTCATTGCCCGAGTCACAAAGTTTTCTTTCATTTCTTCAAAATTTGCCCTTTTAACTTCATTCTCACTCAAATCATCACCATTTTTCACTCTTGGCTTCTTACGTACAAACTTAACCATTAAGCTCAAACTTCAAGCACCTGAAAAAACACATCAAAGTCGGGGTAAACTACATAATTTCTTTTATGTAAATATAGCATATTATGTATTAAAAATATATTAAAATAAGTATACATAATAAAATTTTCAAACCTAATAAATTAAATAGACTGATAGAATTTCGAAGTCAAACAACATATTGTTCAAAATCTTGGATTAAGACATTTTTTTTCCATTAATATTTGTTCATTTCATAGGGGATTCGGGAAAAGGGAGCTGGAAAGGAGTAATGGTAGTCGAAATTCCTTTTTTCTAAATACAGACTTGGTGACCCCAAGAACATCACGTTGCAAATGCCTTAGTATTTTCTACGTTTTTCTCTTTCCTTTTTTTTTTTTTGGTGACAAACATGGGATTAAAAAAGAAGACAGTAAATATTATGTCGTCAAAATAATACAGTTTGTAGGTTCTATAATGTTTTTCACAAAGTCTTGATGTTGGCTAATCAGTTAATTAAGCAGCAATTAAGATCTATTAAATAAATAATCCAGAAAATAAAAACTGAATTTAACAATATAGTAAGAATGAATCATAATCTGAATTTGACTACAATAAATACGTGGATAAACCACTTACAAAATCAATACTACCTACAACTGGAAGAACTATTCTAGCCAAAAAAAATATTTGACCTAAAAGAAAAAAAAAAAGAAATAAAAACTTGTATGATCCTGCAGTATAGTGTCTAAACCATTCCTAGAAGCAGAGAAGAAGAAACAATGGCAATACCATGCTGATGGGAAACCAGTTGGATGAATAACAAGTGGTAGCAAAAGAATCACTAGTGTAGTTATAATTAATGGGAAAACCAGGAAAATAAGGATATTCTACGGAATTAACAGGAGGACTCAATGCAGTTGCAGGACTACTATTATTAGTCGGAGTTGTGGTTGCTGGAGTAGTAGGAGTCACTGGAGTATTCGCTGGAGCTGCGATTTTAACGTGAACTTTGAGACCAATATCACAGTGACCTTGAATGCTACACAAGTAAAAGTAATCGCCTGGAGTTGGGAGGTTAATTGAGTCGTGGCCTGAGTTGAAGCTGGCAATTGAAGCTTTATCTGTGCATGCAATGTAATCGTCGACGTTCACTTGCTTCACATTGTGCAATTGTGGGTCGTAGTTGAAAACTGCATGTGTTATAGAATATATAGGCATGTTAGTTCTTCTAAACAATAGGGTAATATTCTTGGACAAAATATTCTTAGTACTAAATAAAAAATAAAAATAAAATGAAAAGGAAAACGAAGATCTTACCAAGGGTATCACCAACTTGAATTTTTTTGGAAGAAACCCATTGATCATAATTTTGGTCGAAAGTCCATCCTACAGAATCACCAACGTTATACACAACAGCTGTGGTAGATCCCGCGGCAGCCATCATCACCACCAACACGACCATCATTGTTTCTCTAAATAAAGCCATAGATTATAAATTGCTATGATCTCTATGGTAATTATATAGTAATGAAGAATTAGAGACTTTGGAGTCTGAATACTTATAATTTGAGTGAATGAGCGTCTGAGTTTCTGAACTGTGTGGCTTTTATAGGCGTAGTTAATGGCTTCTCTTGACTTGAAAGGACTAGAATTTAAGGAAATTAATAGGCATATACCACTTATGGAAAGTCAATTTCCATGTACTTTGGAAGTTACATAGAACTAAATGTATTACCAAAAAAGAAATCTAACACATACCATGTTTAATTTGGAACTTTAGTACTTGTATTACATTATTTTCTTCATATTAGTTTCCATAAGTTAAAACGAAATTTCCAAATAATACAATTTTTCTTCCTAGTTAAATAGGAAGAATACGTACTTATTACAATTAAGGGTTTTGTGGTGCATAATTAAGTACTTATTACAATTATTTCCTTTGTAGTTATTTTCATATAAGTTGAGAGAACTAATTTTTCCAATTAATATAGTATTTTTTTTAATACAATTTTTCCAATTAAGGGCATTTACATCAATTACAGCATTACTCATAGTAGTTCTCTTTGTAGTTCAGCTAGCAATGGCTTTCACAAAAAGAACGACAATGTTTCTGTGTATTATGGTTGTTTTCGTTGGACTCTCTACGGCTCCCGTGTATGAGGCTGGTAATTAATACGAAGTTGGTGATTTTCAGGGTTGGACCACTACGGGCAAAATTGATTACAATCAGTGGGTTTATACAAAGAATTTTTAAGTTAAGGACACCTTGGGTAAGTAGTCTTTCCTCATTTTTATTAAAATATTTTCAAGAAATAAACTGGTGTACGAAAACTAATAATTTATTCTGTACGATCAGGGTGGACAAGAGTGGGTTGCTCTAGTAATAAACACCCTTCACTTCCAATCAAGAGGTTGTGAGTTCGAGTCATCCCAAGAGTAAGGTGGGGAGTTCTTGGAGGGAGGAAGCCGAGGGTCTATCGGAAACAGCCTCTCTACTCCAAGGTAGGGGTAAGGTCTGCGTACACACTACCCTCCCCAGACCCCACTAGTGAGATTATACTGGGTTGTTGTTGTTGTTCTACGATCAGAGGGGTCATCGGATCCCGTAAATTTTGACAGAAATCGTGTATATGTAAATATGTATATCTTGAAAATTATTATATAAATAACTTGATACTCAGAATAATAGTGATGCTCCCATCACGTTAAAATTAATCCTGGGTCCTGCTCTGTTTAGGATCACTTATATTTTTCAATTTTAAAAAACAATTATTCACGCTTAATATTCATGTTCGCACACTACACCAATGAATGCAAATTATATATCTTAACTTCAATCATAATTAAATACTACTAAGTATTTTCAATTTAATTTATAGCTTTTCCATTGACTAATTAAATGAGGGTGTCAATATGCAGTTTTCAACAACGATTAGAATTAGAGAAAATGACACTCTATAGCCCTTCAAAATTTTAATAGCCCATGTTTTTTCCTATTGACACAAAATATCACTCCGACCCAAATATATTACATTTAATAGTCCAAAATATCTATTTTGTATAGTGTCAGTTTATTTTGTATATTTTTTGTATAGTGATAGTCTATTGTATATAAATTGTATAGTGACAGTCTATTTAGTATATATTTTGTATAGTGACGATCTATTTTATATATATTTTGTATAGTGACAGTCTATTTAGTATATTTTTGTATAATGACAATCTATTTTGTATAGTGACCGTCTATTTTATATATTTTGTATAGTGATAGTATATTGTATATAAATTGTACAGTGACACTCTATTTTGTATATATTTTATATAGTGACAGTTTATTTTGTATATATTTTGTATCCCGAGCACTTTTATCTATCTAACGTGTATAGACTGTTGTATGACATATAAAAGTGTATATATTATTCTTTTATGTTAACCTTATCTATCCAACGTGTATAGACTATTTTGTATAGAAATTTATAATAAAAAAGCTGCTGACATTTCTATTATAACAAAAATCAAAGAACGTTAATGAACAATAACAATAGGTCCACCTCACAATAATAAGGCCAAGGATGTTTAACAAGGGTACACTCCTAATGAACACAACAATAGGTTCCGATTTTGTACCATGTTCTAGTGCTACCATATCTTGGTATAGTGATTACACACGTATTTGTCCGGTTCATTACCTTTTTTCTAATATTCTCCGGTATTCTGAGAGTGTANTGAACAATAACAATAGGTCCACCTCACAATAATAAGGCCAAGGATGTTTAACAAGGGTACACTCTCAGAATACCGGAGAATATTAGAAAAGAGGTAATGAACCGGACAAATAGGTGTGTAATCACTATACCAAGATATGGTAGCACTAGAACATGGTACAAAATCGGAACCGAAGAGGGAAGAAATATCCCTCTATCTCTCAGAATATCCATTTTTGCAACATAAACAAGAATCCTATCACAAGCCATTTCTTCAAGCTTTGGTGCTTCATCAATAAAAGGATTGTCAAAGGGTCGTTATTCCATTTATTTGATGGACAAACAAATTCTCACCATTTATCTACCATTGCTTTTCTTGGATCTTTGTCACGACCCAAAATCTGACCAGTCATGATGGCGCCTATCTCAATACTAGGCAATCCGATAATATCAATAACCCCCGATTTCCTTTAAGTTTGAAAAATATAATATTTAAATATAATTAAAAATCCCACAAATACTGATACGAACACTCCCCAAAATCTGGTGTCACTGAGTACATGAGCATCTATTATGAATACAAGTCTGGAAGATACAGTCTACAGTAGTCTGAGATCAAATATAGTAAACAAGGAGATAGGGAAGGAGAGCCAAGGTTTGCGAAATACGACAACTACCTCAAAATCTCCGGAGAAATCAACTGCGCGAAAGAATCAATACCCTCTATGTCCGGGAACACCTGGATCTGCACACGAAGTACAGGTTATAGTATGAGTACAACCAACTCAGCAAGTAACAATAATAAATAAGGAACTGAAGATAGTGACGAGCTACACAGTTATAGTTCACTTTCAGTAATTCCAGAAAAGAATAGACATGCTTTCGAACCAGCAGTTTAAGTCAAATCAATTCTATATAGTTCAAGTTCATGTATTCCGGATATAAAATCTTTCAGAAAGATTCATAACAATGACAAATAGTAACTAAGTGCAACAACAAATGAAGATCAAGTACAACCTCTTAGGACAACAATCATTCACTGGGCTCTCCGCCCTCAACACTTACACTCAATGGGTACCCGCACTCACTGGGGGTGTACAGACTCCGGAGGGGGTCCTACAACCCAAGCGCTATAATCCGCACGGACAACTCACGTGCTGCACGGACAACTCACGTGCTATAGTATTAATATCTGGATCCGCACGGACAACTCACGTGCTGCACGGACAACTCACGTGCTATAGTATTAATATCTGGATCGGCACGGACAACTCACGTGCTGCACGAACAACTCACGTGCTATAGTATAATATCTGGATCCGCACGGACAACTCACGTGCTATAATATAATATCTGGAACCGCACGGACAACTCACGTGTTGCACAAACAACTCACGTGCTATAGTATAAATATCTCACAATCAGGCCCTCGGCCTCACTCAGTCATAAATCTCTCCAGTCTCTCGGGCTCTCAACAATTATGAAATCAGCCCAAACAACAATGATATGATTCATCAATAATGAACAATAGAGACTAGGATAAAATAATCAAGTAAACTGTGACTGAGTACAAAATAAGAATTAAGCAGATAGTTCAATATGTACACGACCTTTGTGTGTCCCAACAGTACCAACATATAGTCTAAACATGATTTCTAACATGAATTACTGTCAAATTTTCACAACACATAGAGAGCACATAGCTAACAACAAGTTATTCAACTTTACAGTTTTCACGGGACGGACCAAGTCACAATTCCCTCGGTGCATGCCCACACGCCCGTTACCTAGCATGTGCGTCACCTCCAAAGTAATCACATGATACCAAAATCCGGGGTTTCATACTCTCAGGACCAGATTTATAATTGTTACTTACCTCAAAATGTGAAATTCTTTTCTCTGCTATGCCTCGCAAATCGGCCTCCGAATGCCTCGAATCTAGTCACAACTAATTCGTTTCTGTCAATAAAATTTATTGGAATTAATTCCATATGAAAATATAATTTTCCCATAAAAATCCGAAATTTAACTCAAATATCGCCGTCTCGGAACCCGATAAAAGTTACAAAATCTGAAAGCCCATTCAACCACGAGTCTAACCATACCAATTTTACCAAAATCCGACCTCCAAATCTTCAAATCTATTTTTCAAATCCCTAAGTTCAACTCTCCTATTTACACCTCAAAAATATGTAATCTAGTCGGATTATTCGATGATAATTCAATATTATGGAGTAGAAATGATCACAAAGGACTTATCTTAAGATTTCCCGTGATTTCTCGCTCAAAAATCGCCTCCCCCGCTTTTGGAAATGTCAAAAATAACAAAATCTCGGACTCCTCTATTTTTAACATTCTGTCCAGGATTTTTGTGTCCGCGATGATTTCTTCGCACCTGCAGTCTTCGCTCCTGCGACAAAACTCTCGCGTCTGCGGTGTCCGCGCCTGCGATGGATTTCTTCGCGCCTGCATTCTTCGCACCCGCGGAAAAACTCTCGCGCCTGCGGTCTTCACACCCGCGGTGCCTGGTCAGCCCATGCATTTTCGCTTTTGCAACTCATGCCTCGCTTCTGCGAGCTCGCACCTGCGGCCCTGTTTCGCGTATGTACGATCATACCAGATGCCCAGATGCTTCAACTCCTCATCCAAATCCAAATTCTATCCATTAAGCATCTGAACTCACCCGAGGCCCCCCTGGGACCCCCAACCAAATTTTAGGCAATTCTATTTTCGATATCAATTTTGGAACAGTTGAATCAAAGCTCATTTCATAATCTTTCTC